TCTACTTGGTTCGTAAAGGAGTAAGTACCCGAGGGAGACTTGGAGCTGTGGTTTCTTTGGATGCAGAATACTGCTCAGCGAGGGCCTGAGATGAGGCCTTCTGTTCTGTCCCCAGGTGATGATCAGTCTGGGTCAACAAACACGAAAGCTGGAAACCCATTCTTTACATGTATCCCAAGTAGTGGAACTGCTGCCGGGTGGACTTGGTAGTAATTTACAGGTGGAGTTTTACCTCCTATCGCCTCCCCTCTTCACACCCCAGAAAACCCAGACTCAGATGGCATTGCCCTAGGTGAACACCAGACAGCCAAAAAAGACAGCACATCCATTTTTTCCTTTGAGGCTGCACCCCAGTTGCCTGGTCACTGACTGTGGCCTCTGCTTCTCACTGCAGATGCCATTCAGACAAGCCCACATCGCCTCTAGGAAGGCCGTCCACCTCGCCGAGTCTAAAGGCATACCCATCAATAACCTCAGCCCGGATGACCTGAAGACCATCAGGTTTGTGTCACTAGTCTCTTGCCGTGACTCCCCTCAACAGGCAGGTATCGGCCTCCCTTCGTATGGGCCTCCTTACGGTGCCCTTCCCCAAAATGCCTGGGCCGCACAGCTCCCCAGAGTCCTCCTGGCCTGAATATCAGTGCTGCTACTGCTGGGCCTGAAATAACTGAAGGGCGACAACATCGCTACCATTCAGCTCCAGCGGGGCATGGGCAGCAGCTCTTGGGAGGGACTGGAAGAAACTCATGCCCTGACCTGGCGGCACCAGCCCTCCAGAAGAGTTTGGCTCCAAACTTCCTCGCTCTCCCCTCGGAGCTGACTCTTTGGTCTGCCACAAGCAGCTACTGCCAGGCACCAGAAGTGCAGAAGCAGGGCTGCAGGAGGTCTTTCCCCGTGGAAAAAGGCTCCGTCTCCACTCCCTCCCCGTCTCTGCAGGCAGTGAGCATGTAAAGCCAGCAAACAGCACCCAGCGCTCTCCACTGACACCTCTTCTCTTTGCCTCCCCAGCCCCCTGTTTGGCAGCGACGTCTCCCAGGTCTTCAACGTCGCCAACAGCGTGGAGCAGTACAGGGCCATGGGCGGTACCGCCAAGAGCAGCGTGACTGCCCAGATCGAGCGGCTGAGGGAGCTGCTGAAGAAGCTGAAGGAGCAAGCTTAGAGTGTGGGGAGATATCCCGTGGATGCAGCGTTGTGCCTGTCACGCTAATCTGGAGTTAATAAACGCTGGGGTGCATTGTAGTTCACTGAAACTCCTGTCTTGCGTCTTTCTTCTTAGGGGCAAGATTGAGCTGGGCTTCCTCAGCCCTCGTGA